TTTTTACTGTAAATATATTTTTTACTGTAAATATATTTTTACTGTAAATATTTTTTACTGTAAATATTTTTTACTGTAAATTTTTTTATCAAATATGTTATATATTTATATAACATCATGTCTAGCATATATATATATATTATTTATATTATTTTATTTATAAAATTAATAAATGACAAAAGTAATCGTTTCATTCCTAAATTCTTTTCCTTTCATCTTTCTTCTTTATTTTTTTAATTTGTTTTTTTATTTTATTTTAAATAATATGAAAACTATAAAAACACTATTAACACAAAAAATATTTCTTTTTTTTTTTTTATTCTATTTAATTATATTTAAATTAGTTTTTATCTTGAAAACATATTAAAAGATATAAATTTAATTTAAATAGCCATAATCAAGTTTTTTAAATAATTATAATATTTTTAATAATAATAATAATAATAATAATAATAATAATAATAATAAATAAATAAAAAAAGAAAAATAAACTTGTTTTATAAATGGCTCACCTGATGTTACGTACTCATCCAAAAGAGTTTTCAACACATTGTACATTCGCAAGAGAGAGAGAGAGAGAGAGAGAGAGAGAGAGAGAAGAGAAAGAAGAGAGAGAGAGAGAGAGAAAGAGAGAGAAAGAAAGAGATAGATATACATAGGATGTATATAGAAAAAGAGTAAATTGAAAATTTCAAATGATAAAATACTCATTATTACCGTCCCTCTAATAATAATAATAAAATTGTTTATAAGACTCATGCTGGTTGCTTCAGAAAGACGAGCGTGTCGTAGAATCTTTTATTTTTTTTTTTATTTTCTTTTTTTTTTTTTAAACAGAATTCTTCCCCTTTTTTCCATTTTCTTATTTATTTCATGACGTTTATTACAGACAAACGATTATTCTGAAAAATTTGCAAAAAGAACAAACAAATATATGAACCAATACACAAAATATAATATAACAATAATATTAATAATAATAATAATTATTATTATTTTAATTAAGTAATTAAAAAATTAAGAAAATTAAAATTAAAAAAATTTAAATAAAAAAGTTGACATAAAAAAAAAAACAAAAAAAAATGAAGGATAAACTCACTATTACTCTCTCTCAAAGTTATGAACAAATAATTGATCTAATCTTATATATATATATATATATATATATAGTATATTATATTATATATTATATTATATATATATATATATATATATATATATATAATATAA